CACACAGGGACAAACACCCACATGTCACAGGAGCACACACAGGGACACACAGGCACAGACCACAGGAACACACACACAGCACACACAGAGACAAAGACCCACATGTCATAGGAGTACACAGCCACACAGGGACAAACACCCACATGTCACAGGAACACATACAGAGCAGACACAAGACACGCCGGCCAAAGCAGCACCTCCTGGTCCCTTGAGTTACTGAGACATTGGGGAGGAGAGAAGGAGAAAGAGGAGAGACGTTCTCAGGGCCTGGTTGGGTGAGCAGAGCTGGCTCCTCTTAGAGGGACATCCTGATACCGATTAGGTGGGAGCGTCTGCACCCGACACGGGCTGGGAGAGGCAGGCCCCTCCTTGTTTTTAGGTCTGGACACCTGAGCCTGGCTGGACCTCAGGCACCAGGAGACCTGGCTGAATAGTTGGGTCCCTGCAGCCTCCTGTGATAGACCCGTGAGCCACTCTCTGACCTTTCCCCCCGTCCCACAGGCCTGAGTCCCTTCTGTGCCGGATGGTGACCCTGATTATTCTCCCTCAGCGTCCACAGCACCTGCAGCAATGGCGCCCACCATGGGCTGGATGGTGAGGTTGAAGGGGTAGTTCCAGGTGCCAATGACGAGGACCACGCCCAGGGGCTCCGAGTGGATGTAGGACTCATCCTGCTGGGTCTGGGCGGTCTTCTCCACAGGCTCATCCGCGGCCCACTCAGGGAGCTTCTGGATCATGTAGTCGATCTCCTCCAGGACGTACACCACCTCCTCATAGTAGGAATTCCATTCATTCTGCAGCAGAAGAGCTTCCAGTGAGCCCGGGGGCCCAGAGACCAGCCGTGCAGATAGGGAAGCCCCAGCCTCAGCTACCCAGGGGTGGGGGCTGTTCACCCACCCAGCCCAGGATGGGGGCAGCGGGAAAAGGCACCCAGGCAGGGGCCCCTTTCTGCTAGGCTGGGTCCAGGAAGGTTTGGACAAGTCAAGTTTGAGGTGCGGGAGGGAGGCTGCAGGGCTAGAGATTGATGAGACCAGGCTGGGCAGGGGGTATGGATGGGTGGGTCAGTAGTGAGCAGAGAAGAAACTGAGCTTATGGGCTTATGGACAGAAGGGGGACTGGAACCCAGGAAGGGGCCCGGAGATGACCACCTTGAAGAAGTGAGCACAGGGAACAGGCATGAGCGCAGGGAACTTCTCCAAGAAGTTAGGAGAAAAGCCAGAAGAAGCTCAGCGGGGAGGAAGGCAGTGGGCAGGGGGACCCCAGCTGCTGGGAGGTCCTCTGGGAAAGGCTGAGAGGAGAATGGGGTGGACAGCAGAATGAGCGCCTCTTTCAGGAACTTAACAGATGCTGTGAAGCCGACTGAGTGGGCTCTTTCTTCTTTTTTCTTTTTTCTTTTTTAGAGACAGGATCTTGCTCTGACACAGGCCACACCCATGATACCATCATAGCTCACCATAACCTCAAACTCCTGGCTCAAGCCACGCTCCTGCCTCAGCCTCGCCGGTTCGTGGGACTACAGGAGGCACCATGACCCGGCTAGTGTTAAAATGTTTGGTAGGGACGGGGTCTCACTCTGCTGTCCAAGCTGGTCTCAAACTCCTGAAGGGCTCGCCCCTAACTCCACTTCCCCAAATGCCAGCCTTACAGGTGTGAGGCAACCATGTCTGAGCTGCGTCTAGTTTTGTTTAAGATGAGAAGGCTTGAGAGATTGCTTTAAAAATGGAGAAACAAAGAAGGTAGTTGGTGGAGTCAGGCTCAAGTTAGCGGGGGTTAGGATCCAAAGCTCTAGACCCCGGCAGCACCACACCTCTTCTCTCGGGCAAGATGTAGGAGGAAACAGGGATAGAACTGCCTCTGAGGAGGGAAGGAAGGGTGGGGAGCCCAGGGAGCAGGTGCCCTCCGGGCCCCCTCCGGAGCGGAGAACCATGTGCCCCCGCGGGGGTGTGTGGAGGGAGGCTGCGGGTGGAGGAACACAGGACCAGAGTGCGGGAATCAGCGCAGCAGCGTCGAAGCGAATGGCCTCGCGCTCCAGGCTGGATGCAGACGCCGGCCAGGAGGGCACGGCCAACAAAGAGCGCGGGGACGAGGAGGGCCCGAGGAGGAGGGGAGGGATGCGCCCCCATCTCCGTCGCGGATGGGCCGCGTGACCCTCAAATCGTTCTTCAACCTTTCCGGGCCGCACTCTCCCTTCACCGAGCCCCAGGTGGCGCCCGCCCCGCGGAGCGGCACCTTGTGCAAGTCAGCGGCCAGCGCTCCCGCGATGTCCTGCTCGCGCTCCTGGATCATCCGCCTCAGCGCCTCCAGCTGCTGGACCCGGAACTGCAGCGGGCGGGTCTTGCCCGAGTTGAAGGCGGCCCGGGCCCGCTTCACCGTGTCGCTGATTTTGCTCATGGTGCCTGGGGACAGAGAGCGCTCAGCGGCAGGGGAAGTGGGACTCGCGCCTCCCGGGCCCGCACCCGGGCACTAGCTGCCCCGCGCCGCCCCCGCCTCCTAGCTGTGACGGGAAGGGGCGCCCTCCCCAGGAACCAGGCCGCCTGCCCCTGCAAGGTTCCTCTCCTGACTAGCCCAGCGTCTGTCCGGCCTTCCCAGCCGTCTCGCTACGCTCCTGAGCGGGTGACAATCAGGGCACTGGGGCGATTCTGAGATGCGGGGGGCTTCTTGGCAGTGTGCCGGGAGCCGGACCTTTCCCGGCCTGTCTGCAGTCCCACCTCGCCTCCACCTGCTCACCAAGCTGGTGACACTCCCAAGAGCTCTGCAGGCCGGCGGGCGAGCCACTTCCAGATTATATGGGAGGAGCTCAGCTCGCGGTTCCACACCCACACTGATAAAAGACAATCCAGCACCACCTTTCTGTCAAGGCTGGGTTCTCCAAAGCACGGGTTACTCAGCAGAGCTGAACAGGCCCCGTGTGCCACCCTCGTGAGACTCACACCAAGGGTTTCCAGAGGCTTAGGCGGAAGCGTGGAGGCCATTCCCACTACTACGGCAAGAAACCGCACTGGCAAATTGGGATAGCCCGAATGGGCGCGATTTGGCAACATTTAGCAAAAGCCCTTGGTACATATTTCTCCGTGACACAGAAGGTCCGCATTCAGGAGTTTGTAGGAACTACAGTGTCCCTGAACCTTCGTGAATAAGAAAGTCTTCACAGTCTGTGTGTAACAGACCAAATAATGGGGACACCCTAACGGCAGGAGGAGACTTGTCCAGGCTGCCCTTGTTGTTTATCACGGCCCTCCCTGCACCAGATGAGGGCTTGGCTCCAGGGATAAGAAACAGGTTACAGAACAACAGGTGCTCTAGGCTTGTGTGTGCGCACTGGTGTGTAGATGCGTGTGCATATGCGTGCAAGAAAAGACCAGAAGGGTAGCCCCCAGCACGACGGGGCGCAGGCCGGGGTGGAATTATTGGTGACCTCTGTTTTCATCTTCTGTTTGTGTTTCATTTTCTTGCAAAGAACTTGTAGTTTTTAAATGTTTGTTACATTTTATTTTTTGAGCAGTCAATACATGCTCATAGTACAAAACTATAAAGGATATTAAAGAGAAAAGCCAGTCCCCTTCCTCCCCTCTTCGTCAGCTGCTGGGTTCTGCTCTACAGAGGCGGCCACTAGGCCAAGTCCTCACTCCACTTCCTGAGGGATTCAGCCCACTCAAACCTTGGCATAGCTTTTAACACCAGGGAGTAAGTAAGGATATTCCATTTTGCAAAAAACCAAACCATATGTATAATTATATCATAGGCAGATGCAGCCATAGACGCATGATCCTGCCTGAATTCCAACTAGTGGCTCTGAGCCCAGCCTCAGCCCCAGGCCGTTAGCACAGGGATGGGGAACTGCCGGTACCCAGAATGCCCCAAGCCTGGCATTCCATGGCCCCCTCTCTGGGATGATGAGAGGCTCGGGGACCCCTCAGTGGAACTTCTTGGCCCTGCAGTCCAGGCCCCTCCTCCTGACCATGACCCCAGCCCTACAGCCTGGCCGAAAGTCGCTTCACCTAGGCAGGTGGCCTGAGGGGAAGAGACTGGTGTGAGTGAAGCACCCCGGCATCACCTCCCCGTGCTCTCTGAGGACAGCTGGCCCGGGCCTCTTCTGTGAGACGGGGCTCTCATCGAGTCATTACAGAGGTTCACGGAGCCATAATGCACCTCACAGGGCACCTGGCACCTGAATGGGACTCCTCTCCCAGAGCTGGCCTGAGCCCTGTGCCCCTGAACTCACTCCCCTTATCTATGCCAATGGTGCCACTGCCCCACTGTACCCCACTGGTGCCCCCATGAGCCTCCTCGATCCTCACAGCAACCCTGAGCTGGCGCCGATGCAGAAGGCAGGGTGATGAGCACGCTTTACAGATGAGGAAAGGCTAAAAAAAGAGAAAGCCTTGTTTTGGGTCTCACAGTTGTCAAGCCGCAGGCCAGGGTCTGAAGCTACATCTGTCCCTATCAGCCGCTGTGCAGCCCCAGGTGAATGAGGGAGGCCGCCAGCATGTCCAGACCTCTCACCAGCGGCCACTGCACTGCCCCTGCTCCACGGACCTCGGGGCCCTCTACCTCCTGCAGCTGGGACAGAACAGCTGCCAGAGACCTGGGCCTCCAGAGACGGCAGAGGACTCTTGGCCCTACTCTGAGCACAGGCTCCCCTGGATATTCCTTCCTAGGAAAAAGTATAAGGAACAGTGGGGGGTTACCTTGGACACAGGCTCTCCCAGTGGCTGGAGCTCCTAGAATGAGCAGGAGCCAAGGGGGCAGGTATTTAAGGACCCTCCTTCCTGCCCAGTCGGCCCTTGGAGTCCTGCCCAGGAAGTTTGCGTGACAGGAAAAAAACAATATTCAAATATGGGGTGTAGCATAATCCCGACCTCTGGTCCCTGCAGCCCTGGTTTTGGGGATTAGGTCCTCGGTTGTCTGCTTTTGTTCTATTCTGAAAGCAAGAATGTGTCTGAAGGCTTGGGCAGGGCTCACGTCCAATCTTCAAAAGGAGATCTGTGTTTGCCCTGGGCATGGGGGCCGCTAATTGATCCAGCCTGGCGTGGAGCTCTTCCAGATTTCCAAAGCACCATAGCCAGACACTGTTCTCCCAGTTCCCAGTTACATAAGGTCAGTGGCGGGTGAGCTGGGAGTCACAGTGAGTGTGCATGCACCTCCAGGCCACACATGACAGCCACCACCACCCTGGCTCATTCACGCCTTCCTCAGCCTCCCCTACCCTGGTGCCAGGGCCTCACTGAGGTTTAGACCTCCAACCCTGGGGAGGCACGGGCTGAGGGCTTTCCACAGTCCCCATGGATGTCAGCATCTGCCCTCTTGTTGAATAGCAGAGAAGGGGTCCAGAGATGTTCCCTCTGGCTGGTCATCCAGGACACCAGAGCTGCTTGGGAAGGAAGGAATTCAGACAGCCCCTTCCTCTGCTGTTTGGAAGATGTTTGCTGGGCTTCTGCTCTAGACACACCGTGGGGCGAAGGTGGATGTGGCCACTGCTCCACTGCTTCCATGGACTTTCAGCCTCTTCCTGCCACCCTCACCCACCTGTTCACCTGGCATCTGCTATCCCTGCCTCCCATTTCACAGAAGGTCCCCCATGGTGGCCTACAAGCCCTGTGGTCTTGACCTCCCCATCTATCCACCCACGTGATTCTGCTCAACGTGACTTGAAGTAGCACCCAGCCCTCATCACTCTGTCCTCTGGCTTCTTGCTCTGTCTCCACAGCTCTTATTTCCCTGTTGCATGCACTCTGTCGCTACCTCTCTCCTGGCTCATGCCAGGTATTTGATTTGTTCACTGCTGAAACCGCCAGCCCCCTGGAATAGTGTCAGGAACATAGTAGCTGCTCAGTAAACATTTATTATGGAACATAGTAGCTGCTCGATAAACATTTATTGAATATGGAATCAACAGAAAATTTCAAAATAATATGAAAACTGTAGTACCCAGGGTGTACCGAGGATGCCAGATGGGCTCAGATGGGAGTCCTATGGGAGGGAGTGAGAGGTATTCAGACAAGGAACAGCAAAATCAGAGGCAGACAGACAGGACACAGAGTGGCGTGTCCACAAAGGTTTGTCACTAATGGGAATGGCACCATATACTGCAGGCGAAGATGTTCTTGGAGATCAGTGGCTGGGCAGCCTGGGGGTGGGGAGCATGGAGGGGCTTATCAGACAGATAAAACTTTGTTTTGGAGACTCCCCTGGACAGGGCATGGTGTTAGAGAGGTCTAGACTGAATACTAAACGTGCTGTAGATAAGAAGTCATGAGACCCCAAACAAGACTGGCAGAATGGGAGGTGTTCCAGAAACAGTAGAAGGAAACGGGGACAGGACCCAGTGCCTGGGGTGCCTGGCTCCTGGCTCCCCAGCCTCCCGTCCTCCTGCTAGGGCGCCAGCATTCCCTGAAAGAGCCAGGCGATTTCCTACCCCAGGGCCTTGGCACATGACCTCTTTTCCTGGAGCACTTCTACTCTGCATCAAGCTAATTCTTAGGTTTGTTCAGATCTCAAATGACTCCTCCCTCCCCTCAAATAACACCTTCCTTACTATCTGGGAACCTGTCACGACTTGCAATCACATTGTTGTTTATGTGACTATTTCTTGATTGTTTCTCTTTTCTCCTTGTTCCCCTATGGAATGGAATGTCCACAAAGACAGGGATCTCAACTTTTGTTCAGGACCATATCCCAGCCCTTACCTAGTGCCTGGCCCCAGGGAGATCTCTGAAGAGGTGAAAACAGCCTGATGAACCTAATTACCCTACCCATGGGGCTGGGTGGGGCTAAATGAATGAATGGGGAGTTAGTTTTTCCAAATTTCTAGGACGTTTAGGTTAGCAATAGCTGACAGGAAGGGGAACCACTTTCTTCATATGAGTAGAAGGGGGAAAAGTGAGCAGTGATCTCGGGGATCCTCTCTCTCCTTTCTGTTTAGAGAAGGGAGGAGAGACCCGGAGCTGGAATCTTCAAGCTCATTCTGCTCAGACAGTGGAGGAGAGGGCGCGGGCCCTGTCTCTGAACTGAGGTTCTGGGGCCGAGAGCATGGGGACTGCAGGGAGTCTGCCGCAGCTCAGCTCAGCAGCACAGGGAGAAGCAGCTCTCAGAGGTACATCCAAGGAGCAGAGGCAAACTCAAAGGTGTGTTAGAAAATTCCCTTGGAATTAGAATGAACAAATAAAGACTGTGTTGAGATTCTAAGGCTTGATGAGATCTTGCTCCAGAAACTCGAAGCCGCAAGTTAAACAGTAGAAGCCATGACAACGCCTCCCGTGAGCAGACAGAGGCCATCTATGAGCGAGTGATGGAAACATTCGGGAACAACCAGAACTCCAGTCAGCATGGAACTCTCCCTGAGTGCGGGCCTGGCAGGCGACTCTAATAAGCAGAATTTAATTACCACTTGTTTGCAGACCAGAAAGGGCTACCAGCCCAGACCAGCCACCTCCGAGGCCGTGCGCACAGAGCCCCTCACAGAGCCTGGGTAAGAAGGCGGCCACCCTGGCAAGGTGCCTCCTTGGCTGTGACGCCAACAGCTCTGGAGCTGATGCCAAGTTACCTCGGGGACCCTGGCTCCCGGCCATGTGTAAATTGGGAGAGGATGCTTGGGGACCATTGACTTGGCGGCTGTTCTTGTCATAGCTAAACAGATAGTCACAGATGTTGGCAGGATGTGGAGAAGGTGGCAGCCTCCTCACTGCTGGCGGGAGTGTAAATGGTGCTTGCGCTGCCCAGGGAGCCACACGCAGAGTCCCCACCTGACCCAACATTCCATCA